GTACCCCCATATTTGCTTTGGGAGAGTAACGGGGGCGCAGGGTCTTTAAATGGAGGGTCACAACTGAAGCCGATGAGTAGCATATGATCGGGGTTTGGTGTTATGAAAGGCCTTTCTTATACCATCGTCGATCGTTTTTCTTGAATCCACGTAGGTCTATAGATGATAGTATACTTACCGAGTCTGGAGGGTGTAGATTATTGTCCCCCTTGAGGAGGCGGCCCACTACATTACGTTGGTAGGCAGAATTTATCCATTAGGAAACACCAAACTATCCAAACGTCTTACCACATAACCTGCCGACAGGCGATATCCAGGCTCATATACAACCATATCGCGAATAATCCGAAAGAACTCCTCTCGCTTGCGATTGGACAGGTGTGGGGCCTGTTCCGAAAGACGATCGTCAATGGACACGGGCTTGCGGTCTCCCGTGAACCACCAAAAAAGTTCCCTACCATGCTTGAGGACCCCATTCTCCCGGAGCCCGTAGACCTCCCTATCAAACCTTCCCTTCCATTTTTCGGGTAACGGCCCTAGGTACTGCACAGTAGTGCCGACAAGCATCTCGAATACGCTCCAGCCGGTTGGGAACAGGAGAGACCTAGTCTGAACAGTATGCAAGACGCACGCGAGACTCCAAACATCGCTTTTCAGCGAAGGCGAATAGCCAGAGCAGAGCTCCGGGGGAAGAAGTCGATGGCGGTCCCTAGCGATGAAGGGGGTTTGTTTCGAAAGAACGACTCGCCGAAGTCGATCAGTCGGATCTTGGAAAGGGCAGACAAGTCGAGGCCGGAGAAATCCGCAGCTTCCACAATTCGTCTTGGGGGGTGTGCCGACTGTAGTCTGCCGAAGAATCTAGGCCGCTCCTTCTTGATAGGGCCTAACATCTGATAGATCTGTTCTAGAGGTACAGACAACAGGTCGGGGAGTTCAAATGTGACATTGGTGTCTGTTAAGTCACCATGACAGATGCCATTGTTATGTAGATACGACACTGCGCTAGCTACCTGTTGGTAGACCTGGTGTCATATAGTGCTGGTCATTGCCTCACCCACTTCGTACTTGTAGAGAGTGGGACCAAGGACGGGCAGGACAAGGCAGGTGTGCTCGCCATTGGGACCGGTAATGTTGAATGAGTCGTGTATACTGATGATGTTTGGATGCCCGGGCCCGAGTTTCTTGAGATGCTGGAGCATGTGTAGCTTGTGCAATGCGCCTGCGTCACCACAGTCTGCAACGAGAATCTTCAGGGCATAATAACCCAAGGTTTCCTCACCTTCGCGTTGTCGAACCAGCCATACGGTCGAGTGACCCCATGGCCGAGCTTATGGAGGACCCCATAAGGGCCGATCACGTTACCAATATCCACTGGGTGATAGCCGCCTTGGACATACTTACCAGTATCCTCGATTTCATTCAATGGTTCCCGCCCGGAATTGCGTGGTGGTAGTGCTGTTCAGGAGGCATGTTTGGTGGTTATGGATATGATGGGGAATGGGACGGGGATGTTTGGTAGCTGGTTATACGGACTGGGGATGTCAATAATAAGTATTAAGCCCTTACGCTCCCCGCTTTACTTGGTGGTTGCCTAGTTAGATGTCCAGTACGAAATATAGGGGTTCTTATTCGTGGTTTATGTGACCCGCTGGAACTGCAAGTACAGGTTGTATTTACATAAAGATGATGTAGTATGAAGTGGTATTGGAGCAATTGTATACGGGACAGGTATTAGTTTGCAACCAAAAACAATTTAGACGATAGAGTCTTGACTCATGCAAAGCCGAGACTATCGCACCCAAAGTGGTGGTTCTCTCTGCCCCCATTGCTCTTTACGCTCCCCTTTTGGTCGAAGGAAAAGAAACAGAAGAAAAGAAAAGAGGGGGAAGCAGGGACCAAGGGAAACCGCCCACCACGTTCGCCCCATCGATGTTCAACCGTCGTTTTTCAGTCTTCTATCAATGCAGACTCAAGTATAATTTGTCTATAGCCGAATTGTCTAATTATTCCCATCCCTATACGGGTATCATTGCCATGCATCGATCATCACATGCCGATCCAAAGCCACAACGTCAATTGGTTCTATTCCAACCAACCAGCGAAACAGGCGACTAACATCCTCATGTCAGCTACACACTCCTCCTCTCTCCGTCTCTCTTTCTGTCACGCCAATCATTTTCCATCAGGCTTATGTTTAGGGTCCGCCTTCGCCTCCATTTTGCGGTCGTCCTTCTTCTTATCACCACCGCCGCCACCACCATCTTCCTTCCTGCCACCGTCATCATCATCATCAGCATCGTCCGCATCGGCGCCCTTCCCGCCGTTCCTCCGCCTCCGGTCGTCCTCCTTGTCCAGGACCTCGGCGACGTCCTCGCCGCCCAGGTCGCGGACCTCGTCCCAGTCGACGTCGTACTCCTCGGCGATGGTGCGGATCTCGCGGCGCAGGGCGTTGGCGTCCTGGACCAGCGCCTCCCACTGCTGCGGGTCGAACCCCCGCGCCTGGTAGAGCACGTTCTGCCGCCGCGACACCGTGATCTTCAGCGCCGCCTGGTAGCTCAGGTCCCGGCTGATGAAGAGGAACCACAGGTAGCCGCCCATGATGGTGGTTAGGCCGGCGAGATCTGCGTTCGTTAGTGTCAGCCTTGCATAATGAGTGTTTATATGCATGTTTATTCAAATTCCAGTAGTCATAGTACACGTACACTGCAGAAACGTTAGCGCTACATCATTCACCATTAGGGAAGACCAGAGAGTAGCTCCCTCTCAGTACTATGGACTAGCCCAAAGAGAAAGAAGCAAGGAAGCAAGCAAGGCACGCACCGTAACAGGCTCGACCAAGTCCCACCCGGCATCGGTGTGGAAGGTGACGAAGTAGACGGTGGCCCACCAGGCGGACAGGGCGCCGAAGCCGGCCTTGGCGAGGCGGTGGGCGCCGCGGTGGGCGAGCATGTCGCACTCGTGCTTGACGGCGGCCTGCTGCTCGACGCGCCGCGACATGCGCCGCAGCCGCGTGCGCATGTAGTGCGTGCGGTCGTTGAAGCTGGGCACCCCGACCCGCACCTCCGCCCCGAGGCCGTCGATGTCGATCGCGAACTCGCGCCCCCGCGCCGCGTCCCGGATGAAGTCGCCGATCTCCGTGCTGCTGCTCCAGCGCACCCACTGTTGCAGCCCGAAATCGTTAGCAGGATTTCCATTGAACCAAGAAAACAGAAGAGAAGATGAGAACAAAGGCGGGGAAGGAAAAGGGGCAAAGGATTTCCCGCCGCATCGTTTTCAGCTTACGTCCTTATGCTTCTGCGGGGTATCGGCGCCCTCGCGGCCGAGCCCCGAGTACGAGTCGTCGATGTTGTCGGAGGCGCGGGCGCGGTCGTCGCTGTCGTGCTGCTTGCGGCCCTTGGCGTCGCGCTCGCTGCCCTCGGCCAGGAAGTAGACGGTGGGGACCTTCTCGCGGCCGTGGCGGTCGCGCACGGGCGGCAGCTCGGCCTGGATCAGGCGCTCCAGGTACGACAGCGGCTGCTGCGGGTGCACCAGCAGCGCCAGCGGCTGGATGTCCTCGTTCTGCGCGATCGCCCGGAACTCGCCCTTGTTGCCGTGCTCGTCGTGCAGCGCGTCGACGGGCAGCGGCAGCACCAGCTTGAGGAGGCGCGTCGGCGTCGTGAGGAGCGTGCCTGTTTTTTTCGGGTTCGTTTCAGCATGCGCTCTGAGAATGATGATGATCAGTAAACTTCTTGGAATGCTCACCCTTCCCCATGGCCTTGTTCATATCCTTCCGGTCCTGGCTGACGGGCGGCTCGTCTGCGCCCTCTCTCAGCCATGGCCGGCGGATCTGCTGCTTGACGGCATCGCTAATGTCCATAGTGACCTCCTTTTCTTCTTGCGCATCTTCGTCTTTCTGGTTCGCCCGTCTCGCGTTCTCTTCGCCGGTTCTGTGATTGTGTTGCCATAATTTAGGGTTCGTCGCGAAACACCGCCGCTGTGATGAAGATGGTGAAGATGGTGATAATATCGTCGTATAAGCCGTCCGTGCCGCGGCCGGACCTGTAATGTTGGTCTTGGTCTTGCTTGCTAGAAATGGTGTCGCGCTGGGTGGGCATCGGTTCGAAAGGAGAAGCCGCCGTGAGCTCAATGCTGTCAGCTTTGAGCATGTCCGAGGCGCATAGTTCATCGCTGCTGCTCAATTCCTCCGTGCTTCATCAATTCGAAGTACTGATGATGTCGTTGGCATGTTTGGCCCCGTCTGCTATGAAACAAGATCCCAGGTTCCAGCTTCCCAGGTTCCGGCTTCCCAGGCCCTGGAATGGTTATATGACGTCACCGATAGCCCCTGTAACAGCGGATTGCGTCGATTACGTCGTGATCCGACCCCATTGGATAACGACTCGTCTGCCATTATGCCAGGAGCGCCAGAATTGCGAATTATGGCAGTGAGTAGCAATAGCAATATGCGAGTAGTAATCTGCGCATCTCGAAAGTCATGTATCAATATGAATCAGATATGAATCGCTTAGTTCCCAGCTTGACGTTTTATGCTTTATGCTTTATGCTTTATGCTTCGTGCTTCGTGCTTCCCGTTCTACCTTATCAAATAATTCGTCGAATGGTTTGTTAGAACAAACCTAATTCTGGCCTAAATCATCGGATGTCGGACGGCCAAGAACCTGGACTAAGGATCCGGCATCCCGGTTACCTTAGACTAGCCCCTTGTTAACTTTGTACTACAAAGTTTGTAGTACTCAGGCACAGGGGACCCGGGCGGTGATGCACTTGGATGGTGATGCACTGGGTAACTTAATCATCTGCTTGTCATCCTGTCTTATTCTGGGATGCCATACCTCACCTCCCTCAGCCTGGATAATGTAAAGCAGCGGTGCCACGATACTACAGAAGATCTAGAGATTGAACTCTATGTGCCATTCAACTATCGTGCAATGGTTTGGGAAAAGGCGAATCTGCCCCATGCCTTCACAAAAAGAAATATTCCACATATTTAGCAAAAATTGCACCCAACGTGGGGGTCGAACCCACAATCCTCAGATTTCCGTACTAGGTATCGTAGAAGTCTGATGCCTTACCATTAGGCCAGCCGGGCTTGAGGAGCTAAAATCACATGAGATCTTTGCCGTAAAGAGATCATATGTACACATCAGTGTGGATTGAGTCAGGTCCGCCTCGAAGCGCTTGGAATAAGGAGAATTCCCAGCTGAGCATTCCATAGCGCGAGTAACAGGATAATTGCCAATACAACGCAGAGTAAGAGGCAATAAATGTATAGTTAATGTAAGCTCGTATAGATAGTATATTGCAAACTATCAATGGATTGATTATAGCTACTCCTCGTGGCGAAACTGAGGGGGCGACTCCTCCTTTATATAGATCAGTTATAGATCAGTTGGTGGGGATTTTTGGGACAGTGGGCTAGCGCTGTACTCCACATAATAACTCATGAAAAGGAGTCGCCCCGCTTTGCTCGACATTGGTTTCCCATGAGAAGAAAAGGCTGCATGGTCTGGTTGCAATTAACACAGGTAGGTCAACGTAATCCGCGTTATCTTCGTATGAGAGACCGAAGTAGTCAGTGAACCTGGTGAGGTTGATAGTGCACTGTGCAGTATGGGGAACCCGGGAGGTTTATAGCTGTCATCTACCTCTAGCACTGAAGAGGGGGGTGAAATGTGGTACCCCCTTTCTATAAAGTAGAGTCTAAGAGGAACACTAACATTGATATGTACAGAGTGGCTAATGTGCCAGAATCACTTCAAGGGACGATGGGGTAGGGGGACAAGCTCTCACCGATTCACGGTCCCTCTCGGTATCCGGCGTAGCTAATTGGCTGATCTTTTCTATGACTGAAACTCTCCTTTCCACCACGACGTAGTTGATTAGGACTACTGCTGCTTCTTTTGTCGTATAACATCATAAGTTTGTACTGTTCAAGTTGGTGTCTTCAAGGTGACACGGCTCCCCTTAATATGAAGCGTGACCATCTCTCTGCACAGTCCTTTTAAATCCGACCACCACTCAAGTAAGATATCGACGTGGAAATCTATGTGACTTATAGGTCCAATCAAGTCTCACTTGCACATAGGGGTTCCAAGTGTCTGTGTGATTAGGGCTGATGACATCAGCGCTAAACTTATACGACGGTGTTATTATCACACAGTTCTTCGTCACGAGGCTTATTGGATAAAGTGATGGCGTAATATTGTTCGGAGACTAGATGTTGGAAGTGCAAAACAGCTACCTATTATTCTCGAATGTGACATGGTTCAACGTATCAAGGCCATTTATGCGATGTGTTCAGAGCTGGATAGGATGTCGGGAATCAGTCAAGATTTGGCATCGTGCCCGGTACTGGTAATTGGAGAAGCACATACGGACATGAATGATTCCTAGGATGATGTATAAAGGCCATTGCTAGTCCACTCAAACAAGTTATACACTTTCGTCTAACCCTGCCCTGATGTTTATCGTTAACTACCTCCAGGACCTCCAGCATGACCAGACTATTCACCACGACCTCAACTCTCTTGTTGGCCAGCCTCGCAGCTGCTGTAGTGGCTCGCCAGTGCCAAAACCTCACGTTCCCAGTGTCGATAACAGCTCGAAACGGGAAGTTCGATCTGAAAGCGCCGAGCAACAACATCGAGGTGACGAATTTCATCCTAGACCTCACCCAGCCGGGGCGAAATCTCAGTGACATACTGCTCCAAGACGTAAGAGGCCGGATCGACTTCTTCTTTCTTTTCCTTTAGTCATTCCATATGCCTCATACTGCCCCTAACCCCCTGACGAAGACCTCGAGTTTATAAAGTGCGACCCGGGAAGGAGAAGCTCAAGCTAACGCAAATGCTAACACGCAGTATGTCACCATCAACGGCACCTTCTCCATGGGCGCGACGTACTGCGAGCCGGACACCGGGCCGGGCAAAGCCCTGCAGGTGCTGACGCACGGCGTGGGGTTCGACCGGGGCTACTGGGACTTCCCGTACCACGACTACAACTACAGCTACGTGTCGGCGGCGCTCGCGGCGAACTACAGCACCTTCGCGTACGACCGGCTCGGGATCGGGCAGTCGTCGGCGCCGTCGCGCGAGCCCATCGCCGAGATCCAGCCCTGGCTCGAGATCGCGTCGCTGCACGCGCTGACGCTGCAGCTGCGCGCGGCGGCGCTCCCGGGCATCGCCCGCTACGCCAAGATCTTCCACGTGGGCCACAGCTTCGGCAGCCGGCTGACGTACAACCTGGCGGCGACGTACCCGGAGGTGGGCGCGGTGTCGGACGGCATCGCGCTGACGGGGTTCAGCCACGTGAGCTTCCTGAACGTGGGCGGGGCGCCGCTCGGGCTCGAGGGCCCGTACTTCGCCATGGGCGCCAACTTCGCCGGCGCCCGCTCGCTGCTGCCGCGCTTCGCCGCGTACCCGGACGGGTACGTGGCCCTGGCCGACCGGCAGGCCCTGCACAACGACTTCTTCGCCCCCGGCAACTTTGACCCCGAGATCCTCGCGCCGGCCTTCGAGGCGACGCAGCCCATCACCGTCGGCGAGCTGCTGACCCTGAATAACCCGGGGAATGTGAATAGCACGTTCGGTGGGCCCGTGCTGCTGATTACGGGAGGTACGTCGACTTTGTGTTACTGTCTCCCACACGCTTAGCTTAGTGTTTGCGGGCGGACTTTAAAACTTCTAAGAGAGCTGCGCTGATTTGGCAACCTGATTAGAGCGCGATATTCCGGCATGTGGTGGGAGATGCAGTTACACTGAACCCCCAATACCTTGCCTGTCTCAGAACTACTTCTTGAACAGAAGTATAGAGGTCAAGATTATTAAGGGGGCGGCTCACGGGATTAATTTCGTAAGGAAGATCCTTTATTAAATGAAGGAATCATGATACTAACTTTACTTCAGGAGTACACCGCGGGGAAGTTTTATAAAGAAGTATTAAACTTCTTGGATGCTAATGTATAAAAACCAATATTTATTATGGCTATTATTTGCAATAAGATTAATCACCCCTTCCTAGATAGCCTTATTTAAATGCCAGATAATTTATTAATTTCGCGAATGCGTTTTTATTTCTTTATTAATTTGTTCGTTTATATAACCCTTTTTCTTTTTCCTATCCATCGAAAAAAAAACTTACCATTTTTATCTTTAAAATCCGACGATTTTAACGATATATAAGCTTCCGCTTAATTCCGAGCCGCCGTTGTTATTTAAAGCGTGAAAAATGGGGCCTTTATTCGAAGGTTCTTTATTAATTACCAGGTTAATTACAATTACGTTATATGCCGTATTAAAGGCTTATTTATTTACGAAAACGTTAATAAGATTCGTTAAAAGTTTAATAAAGCTTAGGAATAATTCCTAGCCGATTAAATCGTAATTCAAAATAACTTAAAATACGCGTTATTTTATTTTCGCTTTCGGCTTTTCGTTTAGCGCTTTTTTATTTATAACGATAGCGTTATATATTTCGGAAAGAACTGGCATTACGGTTTTTTCGTTCGGAATCTTTTCGTAAAGATTATTAAAAATAAAATTATCGATTATAAACGTTTAAATAAAGCTTCGGTATACTTTTTCGATATTTTAATAAATTATTTTGATATAAACGAAATTAAGAACATCCTTTTGCGGTTTCGGTATAATGCCGATAAATTCGGTTTAATAAAAAGGGTTAGAAATAATTTTTTCGTATTTAGGATTGCTTATAAAAAGCATATATATTTTAAAGATCCTTTTAAATGCAAGTGAATAATTATATTGGCGTATATTAATATTAATAGTAAAATTTTTCCGCCTTTTGTTATTTTCGCCGGAATAAATATATAATAACAATGGTTTCTTAATAAAAAGAATTAATTATACGAAAATTGGTATTTTATTATATCTTTAAATGAATAAATAAATAACGATATCGCAATAAAGTAATTAAACGAGGTTTTTATTTCGCATACGAAGCCCGACGATTCCGATTAATAGCGCTTATTTATTTTCGACGGTTACGATAATTATATATTCGACGATTTTATATAGCTTTATTTGCTTTATAAAATTTGGGTTATATTTTTTCTTATTTATTCGTTCCATGTATTTTAGCCCTTAAATGTAGGTGTATTTTCGGCCCTTAAAGGGTTTTTTCGGCGTAAGCTTTAGTTTCGGTTATTCGGACGCTTATTCGAAGATGCGGATAAAGTGGATTTCTTATACGTTCTTTTATAGGCCTAGAATTAAATTATGGTGCCTCGATATATTAAAACCGCATAAAAGGCAAATGGAATGTAGCTAATCGATAAAAACCAGTCCTTTCGGAACCCCTTTTTAATTCAAGATATTCCTTTAGGTATGGTACTTATTATTTCGGCGTTTATCGTATTTTTTAGGCTTAACTTCGTTATTTTAATAATTAAAATAACCATATTTATATTTAAATCGTTTAGGGAGATATATAAGATCGAATTTAATTTCCATTTTATCGATTTTATTTTCGATAACGTTATATCGCGGCTGTTATTTCGAAAATTCGGCAAAGCATTTAACGATAGGTGTAGGATTTGCTGAATGCAGCAACACAGTATAACAAAAGCAACTACAAAGGAGTTGCACTTATACAGCAGAATTATTGCTGGGAACGGTATATTGCCGGAAGCAATTACTGTATGGGATAAAGGAAACAAGGACTTCCATTATAATAGAAAGGATAGGGACAATTACCGCATTAGGAAATACTCTGTATATAAATAGGAGTAACAGCCACCTAGCTGATATACAGGAAGTCGGAACCTTACACACACACATATACACACATACACTTATACACATATACGAATACTACTTCATACTTAAATAACTACCTTTATATACGTCTGCTTAACCTTATTTAGTGCCTATTTATTCCATTGCTATATCCGTATTATTTAATACAGTATAACCATATACCGTATAATCTTATAGGTTATGAGGCCCGGGATAGCGCCCAAATAGGCAATATATACCTATAGGATCTTTATACGGCTTGCAGAAGTCAATATACCTCTTTTGAGAAAGGTTACCCTAAAGGAGATAGCAGATATAATACAACTAAGGTTAT